TACAGGGTGTGTGTGAAGTGACGTACCCTATTTCCAATATTGATGTTTCTCTCTCTTTTTTTCTCCCAGCAAATCTGTTATGGTTCAGGATATTAATGCAAACCCTCCAAATAGAAAACAGATTTTGCTTTCCTACTGTGTTAAACTAATGGTCTCAAGCAAAGCCATTTTTGAATTCTTTTGATCTAAGTTAGAAATCAGAAACTTAGTAATTTTTCTCTATAGTCTCACATCAACTCGTAGTTACAATGGAGCAGTGAGGGAGGTTTATAATATACACTGAGGATACAACTAAGAAACTTTTTCTATTCGTATATGAAGTACTTTTTGAATTTAAAACTCAACTAAAAATATAGTTGTTGCAATTCACTTGGTTAAGTCAATTATTTCCGGTAACAGGTCTAACAAAGGTTTGTCTGTGTTAACTGGGTGCTGGGAAGGTAACAGTAGAAAGACCATGCTACCCAAAGCAAGGTACACAGTACATGTTTTTTTTCATATTTCTCAATAAATGGTATACATTGGCTAAATAATCTCACTCTGATGGTCACTGCTCACAGATTTTGATAGCTACTTGCCAGAAGGCTTGGGCATCTGAAGGCTCTCAGTTGAGGACAAGTTGAAAGTCACTGTCAATAATTAATTGTCACTTTCACTCAGAATCAGATTGCCATCATCTCTGGAGGGAATTCATGACTTCACATCTAAAGCAAGTCATTAGACTCTTGAAGGCTCACTCAAAGAAATAGCAATATAATAGATTGAACAGCTTTAAGATGCAAAACAATATAAAAATAAAACTTCCCCAAACCAACCTTGACCAGCCATGAATTAAAATGCAGGTAAAACAAAGAAACATTTCTCTATTCCCATCTTACTCAAAACATGGCCATTTCAATACTCTAACCAACCCCTAAAAAACCTTTCACTCATCTGACAATAAGACAAAACTAGGAGGCTCTTGCAAGTTCATTTTGATTTTTATTACATACCACAGACATATGCACTAACCATACAGTAGGATGATTTTTTGTACTTTCAAAACCACAGGAAATATATTTCCACCTACCCTTTTTTTCCTGATATTGGAGTGGCATTTCAGATTACCATTTTGGGACTGGTTGAGGGCAAAGTAAAAGAAACTGTGGAAGGCAATGTATAGATTACATAATCATGAAGCTATTTTTGGAAGCTAGTAGTAACTTGCTGATTGAGAATAACAGGGCTGTGCAGTACTCACAATGCTGACGTTACACAAGTACTTATATTTTGTACATCTACTGTTACTGGATACCAAAGAAAGTAAAGGGGGGGGGTCCCTAAGAATCTTCCATTCTTGTTTTCAGTTTCCTACGATCCAGTACTTCTCAAAGGCTTTGAAAGGAGCACGTGTCCTTGTCTATTAGAAATCTTTTCTGTGCGCCCAGGAAATGCAGAAATTACAACCACCTTTGCTTCTTATGCACATGCGTGCTTTAACATCCTGACTACTTTTGGCACTGATAGAGTGAGCTACTCAGAGTTGCTGAAAATACTTGACCTGACTGGTAAGTTACCTTGGCTTTATTCTATGCAGGTGCCTCTGGAGAGGACAGTAATGTATTCTTGGTCCAAAATAAGGTTGGCATGGATATATTTAACCTTGTTTACACATACACCAAGGGAGGATTTTATTTTTATTCTTGAATTTTTTTGTCAGGCAGGAGGAAACATATTCAACTTCAATTCTGAGGTAGATAATAGATAGCAATGAGAAAAATACAAGACCCTCTAGGATCTAACCTCTCTCCATCTTTCTAGGCTTATATCGTAGTGGAGTTGACCCTTGAACAATGTGGGGGTTAGGGGCGCTGACCGTCTGCGCAGCCCACACTCCAGGGATATCCTACAGTCAGCCACCCATAAACGAGGTTCCGTAGCCGCAGATTTGACCAACTTGGGATCGTGCAGTACTGTAGCATTTACCACTGAAAAAAACCCAACATATAAGTGGAGCTGCACAGTTCAAACCTGTGTTGTTCAAGGCTCAGCTGTACTCCCCAAATGGCTGGCATGACAAGCTAGGTACTGATGGTCCATAATATACCCCTGGTGCTTTTGCATATTGCTCTTAAATTCAGCTTAAGCCTTGCTTCTCTGGAAGGAAGTTCATATCCCTGACTGAGCTGTCACCTTTTTATTTTCTTCTAGAATGCTGGTGTTATCTCAATAATAAATGCTATCACACTGCACTTCATATAAAATAACCTCATTTCTCTCTCACCCACCACATTATGAACCACTAGAGGGAAGAAACTGTGTACTTGTGTTCAGTGATAATAGACTGAATGCACTCTCTTAATGCCTCTTAAAAATGCTGAAATATAAATATTCTATTTATAAGTGGTAGGTCTTTTTCACAAAACCAGGCAGAGATCTGTTCAGTTTTGACTTTGTGAACTTGAAGAAGTTACTTCACTGAAATCTCAGTTTTGTCCTAGGTTAGAACTAGACTGATCTGCATTTTACTAAGATGATGGTGTCTGTTACAAGTTACATATTACTACTTTCCTCAGCATAGGACTGTTTTGAATCTGATGATGTGAGAACATTCAGGATAGTAGTGTCTGGCACAGCAGCATAGGCATTAACAAAATACTGGACTTGAATCTAAACTTTTTTAAGCCACAGAGGGAATTCAGCAGACTATGTCTTCTTTTGATTGAACATCTTTTAAGACTGCCTGGAAAGAAGGCATGCTCCTGCCATTGGCACAGCTGAGACCAGTCAGGAACTAAACATCAGCACAAAACAAATTCCAGGCAAGACGGAATCAAACGATTCTGGAGCCAGGAAGGAGCTTAGGGAGGGTATTTGAATCTAGCAAGCTGTGGACTTTAGTGCCCATCATCCCATCTGGCCTTGCACCAAGACTATGTGACAGAGGCAGTCCATCTGATATTTAAATTGATCCTTAATCCTCTTCTGCATCTTACCACTTAGCCAAGACCACAAAAGGAATATCTGAATATTCTGTGGGCTTAAAACTACCTATGCCGCCCTTTGGGTTACAGAATAGGATTTAGTGGTAATTCTTTGAAAAAAAAAAATACATTAAAGAAAATGCTCATTGGGCTTCCCTGGTGGTACAGTGGTTGAGAGTCCGCCTGCCGATGGGGGACATGGGTTCGTGCCCCGGTTCAGGAAGATCCCACATGCCGCGGAGCGGCTAGGCCCGTGATCTATGGCCGCTGAGCCTGTGCGTCTGGAGCCTGTGCTCCGCAACGGGAGAGGCCACAACAGTGAGAGGCCCGCGTA